TCCACAACCCTAGTTTTTCCTTTCTGTAGCACATTATCAAAACTTTGAAAAACATGTCTTCTTCTCTGTTCACAGAGCACACTTGAGCGCTGTTCAAAATGCTCTGAGCCCATCCTAGACCGGATCCTGAGGGCGATGGGAAAGGCTTATCATCCTCGCTGTTTCACCTGTGTGGTTTGCGGCTGTTGTCTGGACGGAGTGCCGTTTACTGTGGATGCCACATCTCAGATCCACTGTATTGAGGACTTCCACAGGTACTCACTTCAGTTCAAGCCTCTCTTTCTGTTGATAAAAACAAACGATCAAATGCAGGCGGTGGAGTTGCCTTTCTTTTACTAGATCTTTGCATTATATTTATTAATATGATGCTCTTTCAAATGTCCTACCTTGATTTTTATCTCTAAAACCTTTGTTTGAACAGGAAGTTTGCCCCCCGCTGCTCAGTATGTTGTCAGCCCATAATGCCAGAGCCCGGGCAGGAGGAGACCGTGAGGATCGTTGCACTGGATCGCAGTTTTCATGTTAACTGCTACGTATGTGAGGTAAGAATGTTTACATTTTGCATGTTTACTGTTGAATTGTTTATGTAATGCACCAACTCAGATATTTGAGAGTAGTTTAATTTTAACATCCATGCAGAAATAAGGGGTTGCATTTAGTGATCTATGATATTGTATCTCAATATCAAGGGGGATTTTGTTAATTATGAAAGTTAGTAATTTTTTATTTTATTTTGTAATTATCTGATTAAATAAGAATTGTCCATTTTGATTTCATAGCGACTTTATATATTTGTAATGATGACATAGCAATTTAGTATAAATTATATAATTACAAATGTTTAAATACATGATACATAAAAGTATAATTTAGTTTACCATGCTTGTCAGAACATTCACCAGTGCACTTTAACCATATTTTAAATACAATAGAAATAATCAAGTTATATGTAATGATATATTGAAATCAGCACCAACAAAAGCCAGATTTGCTTTTTTATAAGACTTAATTTGATCGGTAACATTAAGTCACTACAGGCAAACCATTGTTTTTCAGGCAATGGTCAATTTTGAGATTTTAGGCTATTTTGCTTTTACTTGACTACTTTCCTCTAATCTGTCAATTTATGGAAGCAGAATAGCCTAAAAATACCTGAAAAAGTGACTCAATAAAAAAACTCAAATTTCTCCATAGGAAATAGATTTTTAGCTATTAGATTACTTATTTAAAAGTTGATAAGTTAGCTAATAGATAAAAAAAAATCTATTTCTCAATGGAGAAAATTGAGTTTTATTTCCGACTTTTGCACTCTGTAATGCCAGACAAGACACTGAGCAACAAGTGTGTTAATTGGTGTGTTTTGCTGAAGCTGTCAGCGCACATTATTTCAACTTTGTTTTAAAATAATTGGAATTCCTGGAAAACTACATTACCCATGATGCTGTACAGCACATTCCACCAATCAGAGAGAAGACAAGCAAAATGTGCCAAATAAGATCTTTAGCTCCGCCCACTCCCATGAAGCACTGCAAATGTCATAATCGAGTCGATCTCCCTATGCTCTCAAAATATTTGTGTGTGTATATATATATATATATATTAGGGATGGGCAACAATTAATCGCATCCAAAATAAAAGTTTGTGTTTACATAATATATGTTTGTGTAGTGTGTATAATTAATTTGTATATATAAATACCCACACATGCATGTATATATTTAAGAAAAATGTGTTATCAAATATTTATATTTATATATATTAATTGTGAATAAATATATATAAAATATATACATGCACATATTTCTTAAATATATACATGCATGTGTGGGTATTTATATATACAAATTAATTATACACACTACACAAACATATATTATGTAAACACAAACTTTATTTTGGATGCGATTAATCGCGATTAATCGTTGCCCATCCCTAATATATATATATATATATATATATATATTTATGTATATGTGTGTGTGCGCCTATTTTATTTTTTGTTTTTTGTTTTATTCAATTATGCTTATTCGCAGTGTTTCATAGGATTGTAGTTCTTTACCCCTCTTCTTTCCCTAGATTTTTTGCTTCTAACCAAAGTTTGTAGCTTGTTGGTTTGGTTCATGGTTTATAATGTTTTAATGAAGACTTTCTCCTTTTAAATCCCTATGGGAGAATTGAATATTATTTCTGGAACCACTGCCACTGAAAAAATGCGAGGACCCTGCTGCAATATTGTTAAATGAATGCATTTACACTGCAATTACAAATGCATACATAATACTTTGAGATTAATATATTACAAATAACATTTTGACTATTGAAGTGAGTGAATAATAAGTGAAGTGTGTGCTAAAGACGAGCTGTGTTTGTGTTGTAGGAGTGTGGTCTTCTCCTGTCTTCAGAGGCCGAGGGAAGAGGCTGCTATCCCCTGGACGGACACATCCTGTGCAAGAGTTGCAGCGCTCGTCGCATCCAAGACCTTTCTGCCAAAATCTCCACCGACTGCTAACGCCCCCGTCCTGACTCGCCGTGCCCTTTCTCTGCTTCATGGTTATTCTTCAGAACGTGCAACTATCTAACCATCCACCACCTGGTATTTCTTCCATCCTCCACACTAAATATCAATCGCTCATCTCATGGTAGCATAGAGCTGTGGACAAAACAAACAGCGCTTGTGCTTGGAGGAGATTGACTGGAAAGATGAATCTTTAATAAAAGAGAAACGCAGGTGGTGAATGAAATGTGTGAAATCTTACGCGTGTGAGTCTTGAGGGGTGCATTTCTGACTTTGGAAAATCCGTCACTGCTCGTGAGTTTTTACAACAACCTTTCATGGAAGTATAGAAACAAGTCTCGGTTTCCTCAAATAACGCCCCAATTCTGCTGGCAGTTGGGGTCACTTCATATTGTCCCCGTTCAGATGCTCTTTCACCTCATCTCTTATCCTCTCATAAACAAATACATGATGTTTTCTCCTGCTACACTCGGCGGAGATCAAGCGCTCATTATTTTAATACTTGAAATCATGATTGTTGAAGGATATTATTACTGTGTTTCATTTACGGACTTGGTGTTGATATGTTATCGTTAAATTCATCATGATGATTCTCTGGTAAAAAGGTGGAAAAGTTTAACATGGGCAGCTTTTGTTCTTTTTTTCCCTCCTGCTCTTGTCAGTCCGAACAGCCTCTAGGTTAAAACTCAAGGTTTATGTTGACCTCTTAAAGGGATAGTTCACTTTGAAATTAATTGTTGCTATGTTTTATCTTAGCTCAAGGGCATCCCAGATGTAGGTGTCTTTGTTTCCGCATTATTTTCAATTTTGATATTTTTAGGTCAAACCGTTCTTGTCTGTCAGTCATATAATGGAGGTCTATGGTCACCACCTCAAAGAGCATGCACAGATAAGTCCAAATTAAACATGATTTAATGACTCGTAAATGTAAGTACACATTGATGGCCTAAGATACGAAACGAGCGGTTTGTGTGAGAAAACGAACAGTATTTATATATCGTTTTTACCTCTTGTAACCATAGCCACGTCCAAGTGTGGTTCTGTCTGCGCAAGCGACGGAAGTGATCTCTTGCGCGGTTGCGAAAAAAATCAACGTTGTCTATTGATATATCGAAATCGTCTTCCATTGCAATTTCCTGTATATCTAAATATGTTTAGATCTTCAAAGTGAAAGGTAACACTTCTGAAATCTCTGTGTAAACAATGAATGATGTACACGCGCGAGAGATCACTTCCTGGGCTTTCTGGCACTTGCCGGAGTACTTGGATGTGGCTGTGGTTACAAGAGGTAAAAGCGATATAAATACTGTTCGTTTTCTCACACAAACTGCTCATTTCGTGTCTTAGGCCATCAGTGTGTACTTACATTTACGATATATTAAATCTTGTTTAATTTGGACTTCTCTGTGCATGCTCTTTGAGGTGGTGACCATAGACCTCCATTATATGACTGACAGACAAGAACGGTTTGACCTAAAAATATCAAAATTGAAAATACTGTGGAAACAAAGACACCTACATCTTGGATGCCCTTGAGGTAAGATAAAAACATATCAAAAATTAATTTCAAAGTGAACTATCCCTTTAAGCTGTATAATCAGCATATTGTCAGATAGGAATCAAGAGTCAGTGTAAACCATGAACGCTTTAATGAAGGAAGTCTTTGGACAGGTGTCTGTTGAGCGAGCTTGAATAGTGAGAGAAATAGTGAGTGCGATTAGTGAGAGGAATCTACTATGTTAGAAGAATGACAAATAGGACCTATTAGAGCGTTTCTCGTAACATTGAGGAAGATAGTCGCAATTTTGTTACTTAATTATACAGATTATTGACTAACAGAAGATAAGTGGAATGAAGTTTACAAGAAGGTTAAGACTTTCACTTCAGATTTTGATTGTCATGTGTCTGACCTGACTTTAGTGCAAAGAGATTGTTACTGACCGGCTTTATTTTTTTTTTACATCTCTTTATTTGCTTTATTTTGTGTCAAAATGCTTTTTTTGAACTGTGGAACAGCAAGCATTCATTACTTAAAGCGATTTTACAAAAAGGTTTCAAATAAGATGTTGATTGTTTGAAGCAGAAGCACCAGTGTTTGTTCCCATGAATAGTTACATTTATCTAGAAACTAAAAGCATAAAGTGCATGCTTTATTTATTGGTATCTCTCTGGAATATTTTGTAATCTGATCAATTTGCTGCCACAAAACGTTTTCTAAACCCGTCAATCACTGATTGATAAAGTGCCCCTGGTTCTGCATGGTTTGTTTTAATGGCTGATATGCTTTTTAAGCTGCCAGTTTATTTCAGGGCTTGTTTGGATGACTGCACCCCCCCCCCCCACACCCCCCCGATGTTGATTATGGGGAGACTTTTTTTTTTTTTTGTATTTACAGCAAATGTCTATTGATTTCTAGTTTTTGTACTGACCATTGTTTCCAATTTATGATTTGATGAACTGTGAAAGAAAGAAAAAAAAACCCCAAAAAAGTTGTTTGCTTTTTTGTGTGTTATATAATTTATAGAGCCACGTAAACAGTTTCCCTGATCACAGTTTATTACAGAGGACTAATAACCCAGTGACACTGTTGCAAGGTCAACACAAACTATACATCAAGATTTTTCATTTTAATTTTAATCATTCACTGAATCACTTGCTATCAATCTCCATAGTACCCATGACATAAATATTTAATACCATACAGTGCATAAAAATAAGAGTTACACTCAATTTGTGGAGTAGTATGGTGTAGTTATTTACCAATATGCGAGGTGGTGAATTTTAAGAACATAGTTGGTAGATATAGTAACATAAAGGAGAAACTGAAGACAATTAGATTAGTTTATACAATCGAGCATACGGGCATAAAGCACATGACCAGAAATCCTCTAAAACAAGTATTGACGCAGGCCTACACAATTATGTCAATGTTGAAAGGGTTTGTGTTGAGATTTGATGAGTTGACTAACAGGAGGTGAAGGTCTTCCAGTAGAAATTCCGACAGCCTGTTTTCCGTTCTCGATGGGAGAGGGGAATCTGGCGAACCACTTCATTGTGAACCTCGGGATCGTCGTCGATGCTTTCACGAGGCTGCTTCTCCTCGGGCGCCGCCGACTCAGAGAGTTGCTTCAGAAGGAGCAAACGGAAGAAATCCTGAAGCTGCAGAGAAGGAAGATAAACTAGCTCAAAAACAAAAATATATTCTAAACTGAACTTGATTTAGTACGCATGTACGTCTTGTTACTATTTAAGTAATACTTTACAATTTATTGCGTCGCTGTCTCGCGGAAACCTATCTTCAAAAAACGCTAACCCACATAGTTTAAACACCGCGTTTTTGTGGTTTTACATGGTCAGACAAGTATCATATTATTAATATGTTACCAAACCCAAGCTAATTGATATTCAGACTTGTTTTGTTCGTGATGAGAACATCTGCGAGGCAGTTTTCATCAAGTCATAAAGTTTACTGTAATGTGGGCACTCGTTTTTTCTGTCATTTGGCCAAAATCTCATGCGATCAAAGTCGAAGTAGGTCATAATTTTGACTATGCCTCGACGACAAATAAAATATTCGCCTTAAAGAACATCCAGCTGTACTACTTCAATTAACCATTTCTTTATTTACTGTTGCATTGCAAACAAGCAGAGACGCAACAAACTGCGCGTAACACTCGCGAGGTTTTGAGCAACGAGGTTTATTCAAAAGCTCATTTTAATATACTTTTCAGTGATATTTACTAATATTTAATGAAAACAAATTAATGATTAGTGAAAAATAAACAGTTGTATTTTTATTTTAAAAAAGTTATACAATTTTATAAAGGGATCACAATTGCGCTTCAGCCTAGGTTGTGCTCACATGAATCAAATCTAACAACCCAAGGTCTAACTTAAGACCAAGGAGCAAAACCAGAGCATGGAATGTTTTAAATTATTTTATGAATAAAATGACTAACGTTTCGAAGCCCATGCATCTGACTCTGAAGAAGACGCATGCGTCGAAATAATAGTCAGTTTATTAATAAAATATATACACACATTTATTGATTGATAACAGATGTATTGATTGTTATTTTATGTTAAGCAATGCATTGCCTATTGGGACCTTATTGTAAAATTTTACCATTATTTTCTCTATATCCGCACAGACATACATCTTAAAAACCTGTAGAAAAGCTTGTGTTCTACCTCAATCTCCTTGGGTTCCACTTCAGACCGTAACAGCTGGATCAGCATGTCTCCTCCGGGTGCCGAACTGACGCTGCACAGCAGCAAAGAGAGCGATAGAGTCGCCACGACCATCTGTAATGGGGAAAACATCTTACAGGACTGTAAAAAACACTGCGTTTAGATGCCTTTACGGATGACAGGCTTATATAGGCACCAAAGGTGGGAACCTGGGGTTGATTAAAGACAACTTATTGGTCGAAACATAACACACGAAGGATGATGAAGGTGGTCGTATGGGTGTGTGGGTGTACAGGAGAAGGGGTAAAGGGTAAAGGGTGAAGAGACACTTGTGCGAGGGAAAGGACTCCCAGGCCCAGTAGGAAAGATGTTTGATAAGGTCACATCAGGTGTTTTTTCGCATCAGAAGCTGTCTCAATTCTATGTTATTTCCAATATCATGTCAAAATTGAGCATCTATAACATAAATATCCTCATGTTTGACAGGGGAAAGTGTTAATAACTTCAGTGGCAAGGCACTAATGAACTACAAAGGTCTTAATTATAGCAGGGGGATGATACTATCGTGGTCTGGCAAGGCGTGTGGTGTCACTTGTGATTTGGAGAACCGTGCATTTCTGTGTCTTATTCTCACTATGGGGTCCTCGTTAGACAGAGGAATTAATGATGCGAAGTGACTTAAATGTTAATTGGTCTGCTTAGCCATTACATCACACCATCCTCCATCTCCGGTGATATGTGACTGCTTACAGGTGAAACTCGAAAACTAACTCAATCTATTTCAGTAATTCAACTTAAAATGTGAAACTAATATATAGACTCATGACATGAAAAGTGAGATATTTCAAGACTTTATTTGTTTTAATTTTGATAATTATGGCTTAGTTTATGAAAAACCCAAATTCAAAATTAGAATATTGTGAAAAAGGTTTTTATAGCTGTAAGCCATAATCATCAAAATTGTAACAAATAAAGGCTTGAAATCTCACTTTGCATGTAATGAGTCTATATAATATATTAGTTTCTCATTTTTAGTTGAATTAGAAGTTTCGCCTGTATAGATCCTGTCCATCAAATAAAATCTGATACACTGATATTGGACAGTTGTGCACCTCACCCCTCACTGAACTCACATGTACCAGGACTTTGAGATCTCAGAGAGCAATTACTCATACTTGGTCGTCTCAATGGGTGGCCATTAACATTTACAAGGAAGAGGTGAGCATGTTATGCTATGAGTAACATGCTGGGCACCTAAATGAGGCTATCCTTGGTATAATAAGAGGGAAAGAAGTAAGCTTTATCGTTTGTGACAGATGACAAAATGTAGTGTTTAGTTGAGTGGAAATTAGTTTGTTTTAAATTGATCCCTAGACGATCATCACACCTGGCACACACGCAGGTGTCTTTTATGGCATTTATGGAGTGTAGACTGATGTGAAAAAAGTCATTTAAAAGCATTTAGCTTAAGGCTGCAACTTAACAAATTAAGTTCTGAATCCACTGTATATATAAAATGCTTATTTTTGATAATCAGATCTGTTAATAATTTCACAATGGCAGGTTCACAAAGGTTTGACATAATTTGAATAGGCTATAAATACATTACACTTTCAGTCACAGAAATGGGTTATAATTTCCACCAGCAAAAAAGGTTTTGAAAAGAGGGCAGTGACTCACTATAGGCATTGAAAGTGATATAAAACTTGATTCATTTTTACACACTTATACACTCTTTTTTTTTACAGTCTATGGGTCACACTCGTTCTTTTATCAGCAAATTCGTTGAAGACACCACACACGTTCTCTTGAATGACTTTTATTTTGAAGGGATTGAAAAGTAGCGACATTATCCGTTTGCGCATGCGTCTGTCACAAAGCAGGAAGTAACTTCCAAACTGTCAACAGTCCAACGCAGTACCAGTCACAACCGCTTGATTCTGTCCTCCTCATATTTATGTTATTTCAAATATTCTGACAGTGATGTCTCGTAAGTCTAAAACTGAAGAATATTATCGCTTCTTCACTGTGACAGATCCACGCACACACGAGAAAGGACACACGGAATATAAAGTAACAGCAAGGGTTAGTAATACTGCATGATTATATTATCTCAGAGAGGAGTAATATATACGGCATAGTTTCGACCTCAGATATCTTGAGTTTTGTGTTTTGAATTAATTACAAGTAGCTATCTGAAATATTTATGTTTTACTCTTTGATAAACTGCTTCATAAATACAAAAGACACACTGATGCTCATAGAGAGGGTTAATACTAACTAACGTTACTAGCCTCGGTTTGTGTATCTGGTTTTGCTGTGAAACTCGTGATTTAAAGAATCTGGAACAAGATCACGTGACTCCAGTCTCACCCCCTTCTTCATTCATACTACAAATAATACGCCCTTTCAAATCCTCTCTTTTTGGTGTCATGTGGTTTAACTTATCCGTCTCTGTCTCCACAGTTTGTGTCAAAGACAAAGCCGGAGAATGTTAAAGAGGTATGATCATCCCTGACCCTGTATGTTATGCATACACACATGTTTGGAGCTGCGTTGGAGTCATTGTTGGTTTGATTGGCAGGTTGTGGTGTGGAAGAGGTACTCAGAGTTGAAGAAATTACACGGAGAGCTGGCGTACACTCACAGGAACCTGTTCAGGCGGCTTGAAGAGTTTCCCCCTTTTCCACGAGCGCAGGTGTTTGGTAAGGTCAACGGAATTGCTGAGACGGCAATTTTGTCACTTTATTTCCCACCACCTGGATTTGAAGAATTTCATTGTTACTTTGTCCTGTAAGTCGGCTTCTTTGTGCTTTTCTAACTTCCCTCACCGCTCTGTGTGTATCTCTCGCTCTCACAGGACGTTTTGATGAGGCTGTGATTGAAGAGCGGAGGAAAGCAGCCGAGGACATGCTGCTCTTCTCTACAAACATTCCTGCTCTGTACAACAGCCCTCAACTCAAAGATTTCTTCAGGGTTAGACATATATATTATGCCCATAATTGCCATAGAAAGCAATGCAGATATTCTGGAACATGATAGAGCGCCACAGGACACACAAATTGGATCTGAACAGTTGTGACAGTTTAGATTAGTAACCAATTAGACTAAGTGTGTGCTCACAGTTCACACTTGTTTGGTTTGCTTAGCGTTCACATTGGCATTTTAACACCAAACCTAAAGATACTGAACCCAAAGGCATAGGGATATCTTCACAACCTGATTGGTCGGCTGTTATTACATATATTTCAACCGCATCTTGTGACATCATATCCTGTTTTTGGTTCTTTTACATGCCTTTGGTCCGTGTTGCATTCATATTTCAGTGGAATCACGCAAGAGCTCGTTCGCAAGTGGGCCGAGACTCATCTTTTCCGCTTGTTTGGTGGCACCAGAGTTCGCATGGCAGCGTTCACACTTATTAAAATGACCCGCAACTAACAGAGAAATCGCACCAGGGTTCGTTTTAATCCGACAAAACATGCCAAGTGAGAACGCTTATTTTTTAACGGTAATGTGTAGTTCATTAATTACTCATCCTGGGGTGTTGTTTAGGTGGAACATAAAATAAATCTTGCTCTTATCAGAGATCATAATGGGCACATGATCAATCTCCAAAAATTAGGGCTGCACGATTTGGGGAAAATGTCATATTGCGATTATTGAGGTCAATATTGCGATTGCGATATAATAAACAAATGGTTTCATGAGTCAACTTGCTTGGTTCTAAAGTAAAATGCACACACAGATTAATGATCATTCTGAGTATTAATGTGTATTTCTCACAATTGAAAGCTATCAACTTTTTAATAAAAAAAATATTAGGATTTTAGATTTTAAATTAAGTGAACTTCAAACAATCCTCACATAAACCCATAATAAATGCCATATTTACCTATGCCCTTCCTGTCTTAACAGGTAAGATACAGAAATTAAATAAAGTTATCAAACCATCTGCGCTGCATGAATAATAAATTATATATAGACTAATCCTTATTAAAGCTACAAAAGTGAGTAATTTTCTATGTTTACGATTGCGATATGACTACCAAAAATGCTGAAAAAGCTCCCTAAAAGTATCATAAAAGGTGTCCAAAGCATGCGCTGTATTTGTCTGATTGTGTGTCTTGTGAATGGTAATCCGTTTGGTGATTTTTTTTTTTTTCCTCTGTCAGGGAGGAGAAGTGAGAAGACCACTGGAGACAGCTGCCATTTCCACGTGTCTTCCTCCTCCTCTTATTCCCCTGCCGGAGAGGAACGCTGAGCTGTTGGCTGAAGAGGAGACGGGGAGAGATGCTCCTATCCCGGCCCAGGAGCTGGAGTCCAACCCAAGACTGACCGATCTAGCCCAGCCCGAGGTAGCAGTCGAGGCCTTTTCCGTCGACAGGGAAAGCAGCCCCACACCAGAAACACAAATACAGGAACTGACAGAAAAAGAGAGCGACACTGACATCACAACGCATCAGAATAACGGCACAGATCAATGCGCCGCAGCTACGGACGCTACAACACGTTAGTTTGTTATCTACTGTACAGTACGTCTTTTATCCTGTTTCTATCCGATGGCTAATTGCTCTATTCCTTTCAGATGAAATTCCAGGTTCTCCAGTCGACCAATTAGAAGAGTTTGATTCGCTGTTTGATTCTGGATTGGAGGAACATTTAGAAAAGGCTCCGCCTCCGCTTTCAGACACAGACCTCGCTATTTTTGACCCATGTGCCAAAGAAGGTAGGGAAGTCTGCACAGTTTGACTTATTTTTTAATGCAAATCTCACTTTAACCTACTTATTCAATGCCTCAGATCAACCATACGGATCACCCAGCCATGCTCAACTCCTGTCTGTCCCTCTAACTGAGTCGGGTGGAGATGTGAACTACGTGCACCAGGCCAATGAAGAGCTGAATGCCGCCCAGGAACGAGAGAGAGAGGGGGATTACAGTGGCGCAGTGAAACGATACAGGATGGCTGTCGATATATTTATGAAAGGAGTGCAAGGTAAGACGTGGAGGATGTTTGTGATGGCAGGATATATGTTTATAGGATATATACTGTGCAAATTATACATTCACCTAAAGGATTATTAGGAACACCTCATACTAGTACTGTTTTTGACCCCCTTTCGCCTTCAGAACTGCCTTAATTCTACGTGGCATTGATTCAACAAGGTGCCGAAAGCATTCTTTAGAAATATTGGC